CGTTTTTGTCACATTTCCCACATGGTTTAAACTAAAATATCTATGTGAAAAGCATATGTTTTTCTTGGGTCGTGCAGCRTTTATAAGAGCATCGAACAGGCCTACAGGAAGCCTAAACACAAGCTGGAAGATTTTAGGTCTCTAGCAGGATAACGGAACAGGGACTGAAATAAATTACAGATTGCAAAACCAGCTCCCACGCAGAAATAACAAACCGTGGCAGAGAAGCCGAGCAGCTTTTCTGCTCGTTAGGAGCAACCCCCAGGTTTGTGCCAGCACCCTGACGTCAGTGGTGTGCAGGGCTCTGGGTAAAATTAACCCCCACAAGACCACTGACCTGGTTCRTTTTTTTCTTATCTGCACACTGATTTGAAACAACCAATCCTGAACCTCACCAGTGCAGTGGTGGGAACTGCTGAGTGGATATCAAAGCTGGAATTCTCCAAATTCCTGCTTTTCCCAGCAGTGTCGTTAGCATTCAGGTATGCAAAAATGCAAACACACTGCAGGAAGGAGGCAAATGCTGTCTCTGCAGGATGTCGGCGGACAAAAGGTTTTGAGGGACTTTCACACATCAACTCTTCGCACTCCTGTTTGGAATAAAAAAGGGTTCATTCTGTAAGTGTGAAAAGCAGCGGCACAGGGTTTCTAAAGACAATACTGCCTCCAAGCTCATGAACACATTCCACCTCAAAATCAACTAGAGAAGAAARAGCTCTTTTCTTTAAATCCTGGAACTACCAGCATTTTCAAACAACTCCTTTTTCTAGCAGAGACTGCCAAATGAGGGTGCTGGGGGTAATTTGCAACCCATCAGGCCACCTTTTGTTTATGCAGCCGCTCCCAGGTAATGCTAAACGGGAGTGGTCGGTGATAGTTTGAACGATGTTGATCCGACTCAGATGGAAAAGAAAAAAAACTCTTGATTTTAACCCATCCTGATATGTAAAGATTGCTCAAAAAATATCATTTGATTTTAATTTGAGTCATATTGACTTGTCAAGAAAAAAAATATTTGCCACTGGGGTGAAATGTTCTGACTTAAAACAAGACAAAATGTCCTGATAAGATTATTTTACTT